CGTCTTCGTTGATGGTCGGTTTGTTGATGATGTTCTTAGCTCGATTGGCATATCGCAGCGTGCTGAGTGTCTCTCCGTAATTCACATCAGCAGGTGAAATGTCTGGGACAAAAACAGTCGTCGAACAAAGTAAATGTTTAACCATTAACAGAATAGTCAGTATATACGGAGGTGCACAGTTAGATGTGGGTTTTTTTTTCTCACTTGCGATCATGATGGTCTTGGAGTTTCCGCCCAGACTGTCTTTGAGCAGCCACGTGAGCACAGAGTCCCTGTAAGGAACAAACACCGACTTCTTCTTCAGGTTGGTGTTCAGTCCGTCCTGTGCCATGTCGGCTGGACAGAGACGTGGAAACAGAGACAGGTTTTCTATCAGACTACGGCCAGTGACCAGCAGGAGGCAGCGTAGCAGCTATACATCTCTAGACTGCACTTATCATTTCAGTCGGGTACAAATTCTGCAGCATTGCTCAACGTAGCTTAACAGCACAGAAATATTGATTGTTTGTCTTGTCTCTACATTAACAGCTTCCAAAACACTGAGTGAGACACTTTTCAGGTAGGAATTTAACCATTTAACCAAACATTGATCAACAGACAAAAGACATTAAAGACACAAATGATTCAAACTAAACTAAAATGCATCTCAAAATTAATTAATTAAAATAATTAATTTAAACCTAATTTTGTTGTCACTGCAACATAAAACAAACACGTTTCTGACCTAGAGCAGAGATGACGTTGCCCAGTGTGACCAGCGATTTGTTGATGTTTCCTCCTTCCTTCAATCGAACTCCGGTGGCTCCGGTTGCATCTGCTCGCTCACTTCCTGCCAAGTCTACGAGGTGGATCTTACTCAATGTTTCACTGGGCATCTCTGCATCAAACTTTGCCTGAAAAACGAGTCAAAAATGTTCACCATAATCACACACCTTCTGTATCCTGGAAACAGATTTTTTTTCAAACTCTGATTGTGACACCAACTCCTTCTGACCTGTGTGAAGTTGATGGTAAAGATGGCGTGCGACCGACTGCTGACGTCGTTCATACCAGTGCTGGCGGTGGTGCGATTGAGGTTTCCAGCCTCCATCAGCTCCTCCACATCACTGTAGTTCTGCACCAGGTGTTTGGACAGATCTGAGAGGGAAGGAAATCATCTCGACTGAATGATGATTGGCCAACAAAAATTACCTCAACTCTCATCGACTATAAGAAAAAAAAATCAATCATTTAACTCACATCAAGTTATTGATTTTTTTTTAACTTAGTGTTTGACCTTTCGGGTTCACCTTTGTCAGACTCACTGATGACACCAGGCAGCAGTAGCACAGAAACTTTAGCTCTGACACTTTTTTGATACATTATTAAGAAGAGAATTTTAATACAAGGGTTTTTTGCCTGGTAAAAACCTGGGATCTTGTGGCTCAACTGAACAGTTAACACAGCAGGAGAGCTCACCTTCTACATACGGCCCGTCCTTTGGATGTTCTCTGACCCTCAGGTTGTAGGTCTGTGTGGACTTCCTCCTCAGCAGGTCTCTCACCCTCTCGTTGTAGATCTCCAGGTAACTGAAATCAAAAATGGCCCAGGATTTGAACATTGTTTACGGGTTTCTGTGCATATTTTCTACAATTTGGACAAAGTCTGAGTAGAAAAACGTCTTCAAAGGTCTCACCTGACTTCTGTGCGAAATGATGCTTCATCCCATCGAGTGGCCTCTGAGATGCGACTGAACAGCCCCTCACAGATCCTCGGGATCAGTCCTTCGTCGCCCTGAAACAAAGAACCAAATAACCAGAATGGGTTTCATACGATAAAAAGAACATCGTGAAAGTTTCTTTCAAAGTTTGTTTGTTCTTACTGGATTTCCCATCATGGTGTAAGACTTCCCAGAGCCAGTCTGTCCGTAGGCAAAAACACAGGCGTTATAACCCTCGAACGCAGCCTTCAGCACATCTATCCCCAGGTCTCTGAACACCTGTGAATCAAGAAACAAATGAAAAACAAATTACCATTGAGTCTGAGTTTAACCTTGAGCTGTAATAGAAGAAGATAACTAAATCTGTGAGACATAAATAACAAACTGAAATTAGAAGAACAGCAAAATAAAAGTCAGCACTAAGTTGATGAAGATTTTGGTCAAAGAAATTTAACTGTGAACAAAAAAAAAAACAATTGTAAATAATGGTATCAATATAGAGTCACTTCATAATAAAGTAAACACAGAGTAACATATGAACTAAAATCAGAAAATTAAAAACCTTTTCCTGGGAGACAAATGTGGAACTTTTAGAGTCTCCAGAGTCGTAGGAAAAGTCATAGGTGAACGTTTTGACTCGGTCCCTTATCGAATCTCCAGCAATACCATCAGGTAGCTGTAGGAATCAGAACAAAGACACAGAGTCAGAGCACAATATGACAGATATATATATGACAATATGAGTCAGATCCTAAACCATGGCACATTACAGATAAAAAAAAGAAGATTAAACCACTTATCAACATAGCAGACAGACGTACCTTCAGGTTGACTATAGACGTTTTGGTTCCTTCCATCTTGATGATGCATTTTGCCGTCAAGTCCTTTTCTCTGGAAGACAAAAAGCAGACAACATAGTCAACAACTGCATTCATGTTGTCTCACAGGAAGAAAGACTTTAAGCCTATTTAAAACTGCCTAAAAAAATCATTACGTTATGCAACACATTGATTCTATTTCTGAAGACATACGAAATTCAAGTCTGACTGTAGTGCCACAGCTGACCTGTAGGGGCTGTCAAAAATACTTCAGTAGATTTCAGCCGATTCAAGGATTTTAAGTTTGGGTTTTAGGTTTTGTAATTGTTATTAATTACATGTATTGAACAATGTATCAGGGAAACAAAACTATTTCCTGCTTTGTGGCATCAGCTTAAATATTACAGTGACTTAAACTGAGCCCTTAACATGTTATTGAGAATCCCAAAGGATTCTAACAGGACCTATCCTTCTGCAGATGACAAGCTCTGTAATCAAAACAAAACATTTTTGCACTTCCCAAAATCTCTGATCTGTTTAAAACAGTGGAGGATGGGCATTAAAATGGGGCGGTCGGGGGGGGTGTCGGGGGGTTTTAGTCAACAACAGGTGAAAGGTGAAGTTGACTTGAACTCTGGACTGAGTTTTCTGTCTTAGTATGAAGAGGACAGACAAAGAACATCCAATCAGTGTACTACGGCACCACCTCAGACACAGGTGTTTGATAAGCCTCTTCACTGCTGCTGACATACAGTATTAACCATTAACTGACTACTTACTGACAGTATGATTAATATTAGCACAGTGGAGCTTCAGTATATGTTAAAATGCACATATTTCATAATTTCTCTTGCACTAGCTGAAAATGCAATAAGCTCTAGAGAAGAGATTCACAAAAACACTCAAAAATGTCTCATTGTTAAAGATAAAAATATTTAGAAATTAAGGTAAGGACTGAGATGGTATGTTGCAAAGGGTTTAACAACTGAACATGTGTATCCATTATGTATATACTATCCATAGTATATAGTATCAATTATGATTTTCTGCTCAACTCAGAGCAGAATAAAACATTTCTTAGCACATAGTGGCAAATAATTAAGTTTCCTCAGACAATTATTCATAATTCTATGTGTAAAATGTTAAGGGTAATTCCATTTGATACCACCGTACCGTCCTGAGTGACTGAGACATTTGCCCTAGACTACCTCAGTAGTTATTGTCACGTAGTAAAAACAATCTCTTCTCCCGGAGAATATGTCTGAAATGATTTAAACCCCGCTGGGCTTCATCTCTCTGGAGTTGGACCAAAAAACAAAACAAAACACTGGTATCAAGAGACACTGAATGGAACGGAGTCTATTACGTGGAAAGTCAGGTGCTGCTGATGCGGATGTTTATAGTGGAACCGTAGTGAGGCAATGGATCCCGTCAAGATAATGTCATTTCACAGAGCCTCTTACGACACACACACACACACATACACACACACACATATACACACGCATAAGATGAATCCACCGTTAGGATATAACCACAGTACAAACCAAAACAAACCCAAAGAGAGCGAAAAGAGCTAAACTAATGAAGGATACGCACCAACGCACACACTTATTATAAGCTCTTAACTATGAGTCTCATATCATCAGTTTATAAGAAAAATAAAACAACCGTGTCGGGTACGGAACTCACCGTCTGTTCATGGGTCGGACTCGAACTGCCACCCGAACTGAGGCCATCTCCTGTGCCGCTGTTGTCCGCACCGTGGAGCCGCTGCCCGTTCTTAAAACGGCAAACAGGCTAACAGCTAACAAGCTCACTGCTAACAGGTTAGCGGCGGGAGAGAGAAAGAAAGAAAAAGTTACCGAGATAAGAGAGAAAGGTGTGCACGAGGCGAGCACGCGCAGAGAGGCGAGGGTGAGGGCAGGTGCGCGGGCCGCATTGGGGGGAAAAAACGGTATTATCACGCCGCGGTGACTCCGCGGGTCTGAGCTGATGATGACAACCAGTAACGACCATCCATTCTGACGCCGACCGTGAAACCGCTGTTAGCTTCACAGCTGGTCGTCACGTGACCCAACAAGGCAGCAAAACTGAAAACATTACGTATGTACGGAAAGTAGAAGGGGACAAACGTATAATTGTTCATATGATTTATGTTTTTGCCACTGCAGATTTTGTTAACCCATAATAGATTATTTTTTAATGTAAATTCGCATTTTAAAAATGTAGTGAAACAAACTGATATTTTGTTCTACTTCGAGTTCGCGTGTTTTCTTTTTACCTATGTTCTTTCATAGAGTCTTTTCTCTGTTTTGTTTAGGGAAACAAAGTAATCAAAAGATCAGTGGTTTGTAACAGGGAGTCCGCGACCCCTGCGGGTCAACGAGGGAACTGCAAGCGACTGTAAGATTTTGATCGATTAGAATTCTTCATTTATTCTTTGCACAATAAAACACGAAAGCACGAGTTTGAAGCCATTCTTATGTCCATTGTCATTCTTTATTCTTAAAAATGTCACAATACATTTTTGTTTAGAAAGTCCAGTATTTACAGTCCAGTGCGTGGTGGCCGAAGCTCTGATGGTTATGACTTATCTTTTTGGTTTGTTGTTGGCCTGTTGAGCTTAGACAAATCCCCAAAGGATGCAGTAGCTGTTCCCCGCTTCGCTGGTTGAGACTTAGAAAGAGGAACAATATAAATTATACATATTAGACATGTACACGACATCACCACACCTTGGTGTGATTAAACATGCTTCAGAAGTCACATGTTAAATCTGAGAACTAACACTGAGACTGGCAGGGTCTAGTTTTTGTCGTACCTGTGACTCGTGAGGTTTCCAGCCAATCATGTAGAGGATTTCAAAGGTAGCAGGAACAGAGCCATCCTCATTGCTGTACATGTCTTCCACAGGGAAATACATAAACAGATGTAATTTGCTCATGTTATGTTCACATGTAGTAGTAGTTGGAAGTGCTTGGATTTTAATTGTAATTTTACAGCAATTTATTATCCTTCTCATAACATCTTTAAATTAAATCGCTGTTGTCTGAGACTTTGTAATGATTATATTAATAATGATACAGTTATATTTCTGGTTATGTGTCTTGCATTAGGTCGAATTATGAGAAAGGACTAATAACAACATTTCCAGAAATTCAGTAAGTTTTCAGAAACCACAATCTGTTTACTCAAAGGCTTGTGACATGGTTCTACAGCAGTCCCAGTCAGCTTGTTCATTAGTTCAGCAACATCGCTCACCCTTATAAACTGCAGCGGCTGCTAACATGGTGTCTCTGTGCAACAATGCCCTCCTGTTCCACAGACAGTTACTTTCTGCCATTCCTGGAAGAAATAAGGAAAGACGTGGTGCAGACGGTCGACAGGGCATCTACAGACAACACTGCAGGAGTGAAGTTTACCTTGAAGATCTGTCATGACCTCAAACATTCCTGGGTAATGAACCACAACGTCGTCCACATCCTGAAAGAAACACGTCTTAAAATGAGTTAGCATTCTATTCAGGTGCTTTACATTCACCAACAGTCACTCTTTTCAGCACTTACTAACATCCACGGCATTTTATGACGCTCTACAATTACAAATCATACAGACAGGTACACCTAAGTTATTTAGGTACAGTTTTATTAAGGAAGTTCAGATAGTTTTTTTTAAATCACTTTCTCATCCAATCTCACTCACCACAGTCAGCATGTTGAAGCCAGCCTGACGCAGCAGATGCCCCAGGTCACTGACGCTGGTGTACGGTGACACGTGGGGTGAGAACCCCCCCTCCCTCTCCGTCTCAGCAAGCTGCAGTGAACACCTCAGCTCATAGAGTGTGTCTCCACCCAGCATTGCCCCAATGAACACACCATCTGGCTTCAGCACCTGATGGATCTAATGGGAGGGACACAGAAGGAAGGATAGACAAGATGGGTATCGTCAAAAATAGCATCCAACTTCGGTGTGGAAACTCTTCCTTTACACAACAGTGAAATCAAACCTGTTTGAAGGCTTCTGGTAAGTTGTTAATCCAGTGTATACTGAAAAAAAGAAGAAAAAATGTGAACTGTGTAACATTGAAGGACTGAAGCAAAAAGGTTAAAGAAGATTTTTTTCCCCCTAACCTCAAACTGCTAACGACTAGGTCAAAGGTGTTTTCTCCAAATGGTAAAAACTCTTCATCAGCTACCACACAGTGAGTCGGGATCTCACCCTCTTTTTTCCGTCTCTGAAAGATTTGATATCATTACATACAATATATGAAGAATTTCCAAACAACAATTGAGAAATTACTAATCACATAATTCACACAGTAATCTGAAATTATTAAGACAAAAAATGATTTAAATTGTAATGTAAAAAGACCTGTGACTTAGTGAGGATATAGTTTGTATCTCTTTACAGATTTATTTCTGCACAATATCATTGTTTTATATGTCAGTCGTTAACACATAATGACACTCACCAGCACAGGCTCTGAGATGTCAGCGAGGTAGAAACGCTCCACAACTTCCTAAAAAAAAACAATTGTTTTCACAGTTTGATTACACTCCAGATTAAGTATTTTTATACAGATTTTGACACAAAGAAGTAACATTTGAGAGGGAACAAATAAGCTTTGTTTAAGTTATACAGATTTTGACACAAAGAAGTAAAATTTGAGAGGGAACAAATAAGTTTTGTTTAAGGTCATAAACTTGATATTTTATTTTCCTTTTTTTTACCTTGCTCAAATGTGGTGCGATGTGACTCTTGCCGCTACCAACATCTAATGCCAGAGGAAACGTTCTAAAAAAACAAAACAGAAAAAGACTTCACAACGGTGGTTGACAGCAGTCTTAAGTACAACTTTTAAAGTTTATTATTGGACGTTCGCAATAAAATATTTGTACTTTGCAACACGTTTTAGCAGTTTTAAAAATATATGCATACATAACAAACCCTTTTCGTATTAGGGACATAAAGTAAACCCAACAGTCAAGATACAAGAGATATATGCATACATAACAAACCCTTTTCATAAAGTAAACCCATCAGTCAAGATACAAGAAGAAACCAACCTAGCGACGTCATAAACCCGATCAGCCAATCGTGTGCCGACCTACAGTGAGGACACAGAGGTGTAAACAACAACAAAAACTGTCCACTGGTCATTTAAGAATCTGAATCTCTATAAATGTACTAGTTAATTTTGCTCATTGTCTACATTAGTTCAGGTCAGTCTCTTCCTCACTTCGTCTCTCAGATAGTCGTACAGGTGACTGTCCTGTTGCTTTGCAGACCAGTCTCTCTGTCTCCTCTTCATCCGTCTGTCAAACACATTCATCGAAGAATCCCCGTTGGACATCAGTCTTCGAGAACCGGAGCTCCAGGAGGAGGCCCGGAGACCAGAGTAGCAGCATCCGAACAAGGCCTGTGGGCAGCGGGCTGCCGCAGAGAGCAGCGTGTGAAAGACTTTGCTGCCCATGGAAATGCTGCTGCTGCTAAAGTTTGTCTACAGGTCACACTGACAGAAGAAGAAGGAAGACTTCCTGTCGTGACGTCAGAGCAAATCTGTCTTAAAGACGTAGAACTTAAACTTATAAAGACTTACTTTCCGAAAATATATGTAAGTATTATGTGTTTACGTGACTCATAATTTAACATATTGATCAAAATGTTTATACAAATATTAGAATAGTCATTTTAATGTAATAAATCATACTTTTTTTTACTAAGGAAGACAAATCAGTATGACGTTTGTCCCACGTCGTTTTCCGTACAGACGATACAGTCAAGACAGAGGTGCATGCTGGGTAAACACGTGTGGGAACTCGCGCACTGTGTAGAAACATTCGTGAGATCGGTGTTTGTTTTTAATAATCTTAATGAAATTTGAGTGATTTGTTACGGGTCTGCCTGAAACCAGCTTCTTTTATACTCCGGATTCTTCTGTTTCTCTCGCAGGTAGAAAGTTAATTGAGGAGCATTTTGTAACTTGAAAACTGTAAAATGTCGTATCTAACTTAAACTGTTACTGTAATGCCACCAAATGTTAATAGATTTAACCAGTTCTGCCTTTTCTCAGTCGAACGTTTGCACATATAAGATGATAGAAATCGTACTTGGAGGTAAACAGACAAGAGGCGGTGATCGGTGATCGGTTCATGTACATTAATGCTACATAAGGATGCCGACTGTTGTCATCTGTCTTCTTTGGGTCATCGTGCTGCAGGGCTACTGAAGAGACCACTGTTTTAACAGTTACTTTATTTTTATTTTTCGTTAGCACAAAACTCTTTATTATCGGTTTGTTTTTGCCCAGACTTGGACTCAAAGAACATTTTATATTTCGAAAATGAGTGATAATTCTGCCTTGGACTCAAAGAACATTTTATATTTTTGAAAATTTCCCGTACGAGTGATAATTCTGTCTTGGACTCAAAGAACATTTTATATTTTGAAAATGTCCCGTACGAGTGATAATTCTGCAACAAATCTCAGTAGATCAGTAGTTTTTTGTAATAGAGTCAGGTGAATTTCTCGGGGTCATGTCTACATGCCAAAATGTCTTTGCATTAAATGATGCTGATGTAATGTTATAACTTGTTAACTTTCTGTTCTCAGGACTCACAGGACTACAAATATGTCCTCCAAGAAGAAGAAGAACCCTAACAGCGGTGGTGGTGGTGGTAACAGCAGCATGGACGAGCGGTTAAAGTGTATTCAGAAGGATCCACGCTTCTGGGAAATGCCAGAGCGGGAACAAAAGATCAAGATCGACAAGCGTTTCCAGTCCATGTTCCACGATGATCGCTTCAAAGTGAAATACACGGTGGACAAACGAGGACGGCCCATAAATCAGACGTCCACTGATGACCTGAGGCGCTTCTACAAACTCTCTGAGTCTGAGGAAGATGAGGAGGAGGAGGAGAAATCGGACAAAATAAAGAAGGACAAGAAGAAGAAAATAATGGCAGACAGTGGAGAGAAGAGAGAAAAGGAGAGTGATGATGAAGGTGGGCAGATGTTTAGCAACAATTATTCTTGTTTGTATGAAATAATGAGAGTCAGCACTGAGTCTGACCAAAACACACTTTTTATTCTGCTTAAGTTAAGTTTAAATCCTTGTAATGATCTGTGTTTTACTAAATTAGCTGCAAAGACTAGCAGCGCTAAAATGGACTGTACCAAAGTCTAGCTCGCCTGTTGAATAAATGTCACTCTTTTTGTTCAGATGATGAGCAGGAGGAAGAGGACGACGATGATGAAGATGTCACAGATGATGATGATAAGAGGGAGGAGGAGGACGATGAAAAAGAGGAGGATGAGAGAGTGATTGGTAGTGGATCAGAAGACGAAGAGTCGTCGTCTGGTCTAGAGTCAGATGAGGACAGCGGTCCAGATCTGGCCAGGGGTAAAGGCAACATTGAGACGAGCTCAGACGAAGATGACGAAGACGACATCGACACCCTCCTTCGGAAAGAGGAGGAAGAGATCGAGCACGACTGGGGGGAGCTGTGTAAGGACGCTCCACGGAACGAGGCGGTGAGGCCGTGTCTACAGTCTGGTCCTGGAGTGATGCTAGCACCAACAAATACTAACTGATGTTTGTGTGTGTCAGATTTCTGCTCGACTTGCCGTCTGCAACATGGACTGGGACCGAATCAAGGCCCGGGATCTGCTGGCACTTTTTAACTCATTCCTACCTACAGGAGGTGCTGTTCTTTCTGTCAAGGTAACAGAGACGAAGACAACACATTTATGATGCTGTTCTTTCTGTCAAGGTAACAGAGACAAAGACAACATATTTATATGTTATGTTACAACCCGTGTCATTTCTTTATGGTCTCATGTTATGTTACGACCCGTGTCATTTCTTTATGGTTGGTACAAAAATCCAGACCAAAACCAGCTAATTCAGAGCAGACCTGTTCTGGAAAGATCTATTTAAAGTGACTCTGTGTGATGTTAATAACAAAAGTCTAACTGCCGATGATCTATGAATAGATTTACCCATCAGACTTTGGAAAGGAGCGGCTGAAGACGGAGGAGACTCACGGGCCGCTGGAGCTGAAGGCTCTTCCTGAAGACTCTGAGGATGACAACGAGGAGGAGAAGTGAGTTTACACACACACACACATACCAAACACACAGAAATAAAACACAAACACTGTTTTTTTTTTCTGTTGTTTTTTTTCAGGGTTTATCGGGAGAAAATGCGTGATTACCAGTTCAAGCGTCTCAAGTACTACTATGCGGTGGTGCAGTGCGACTCGGTCGACACAGCTGCCAAAGTCTACGAAGAGTGCGACGGCTATGAGTACGAGAGCAGCTGTTCGATGATCGATCTACGGTAAGACCAGGTCAACGCTCCAGCACCGTGGCTGACGCCGTGGCTCTGCCGCTGTGGTCATGGAGACTTGTCCTCATTTGTTCAAACAGGTTCATTCCTGATGATGTCACGTTCGATGAGGAGCCCAAGGACGCAGCTACAGACGTGAACCTTGTCACGTACACGCCCAAAGTTTTCACCTCGTCTGCAGCGTCCACCTCAAAGGTGAGACCGTCGTTATATTCACCTGTTGACTGACTCCATCACTGAACATGTAGGACCGTAAAGTTTAGCTGATGCAGATTGGTTAGTGGAGTTGGATTGTTGTCACTTGTTCATGATCATTAACATAACTCACGTCTGTGTTTTTTGCCCTGATCAGGTGCAGCTGACCTGGGATGAGACTGACCACGACAGGGTGACCGCCCTCAACAGGAAGTTCAACAAGGAGGAGCTGCTGGACATGGATTTCAAAGCCTACCTGGCCTCCTCCAGCGAGGACGAGGATGAAGAGGAGTTGGTGGAGGAGGAGCAGCGAGAGAGTGCATACGATACTGTAGCAGCAGATAAAACACAAGAGGGCGCCACAGTGAAGACGGGGGTAAAAGAGAGCGCAGAGGAAGAGCAGCAAAAGAACCAGAAGAGCCGACAACAGCGGCCCAAGAAGGAGAAGAGTGAGGAGCAGCTGAGTAAGTACAGAGATCTGCTCAGAGGAATCCAGGACAAGGAGAAGAAGCTGCAGGAAGACAAGGACATGGAGATGGAGATCACATGGGTGCCGGGTGAGACCCACTCACACAAAAACAGTTCCTGATACAGAGAAAATGAAACAGTCTTAGCCTGAACTGAGCGTCTGTGTGATTAGGTCTGAAGGAGACGACGGAGCAGCTGGTGAAGAAGAAGATGGAGGTACAGGATCCACTGACACCGTGGGAGGAGTTCCTGAATAAAAAGAAGGAAAAGAAGAAGCAGAAGAAATCTCAACGCAGGATTCAGGTGAGTTCCTGGTTCTTCTTAAATCCAAAGGTCAGAGGTTATCTGTCCAGGTGGTCCCCTCAAACATGTTCAGACAAACACAGCGTTTATAAGTCATCCAAATATGATGAATGTCAATGTCACAGGAAGGGGCGGAGTCTGACGAGGATCTCAGTGACGATGAGCTTCCTCCCGACGTGGACCTCAGCGACCCGTTCTTTGCTGAGGAGCTCAATGCCACGGGTGCGTTTGAGTTTACTACTTTTTTTAATCATTTTAAAATAATTTAGGATTTGAATACAGGATAAGCTGTTACTGAAATATCTAAAACACATGGAGCATAAAATGTACTGAGTTATGTCGACTGTTTATTTTTAAGGTCTGAAGAAGAAAAAGAAAGGAAAGAAAAAGGCAACAGCGGTGAAGACGCCGCAGGAGGAGGAGGAGCTGGAGAAACAGAAGGTAACGCTGAATTAGTTTAAACGCAGCATCAGTCGATTTACTGTCTGTCTGAGTCAAGGCAGGAGTTTTATTTTCACTTAGAAACCTTTCTGTTTTGATTAAATATTCACCACAGAATTAATGGTACAATGTAACAAAAAGATGAAAACACAGAACCTGAACCCTCACACAGATCTTTTCAGTGGCCGAGTCATGAACCATGATCTTCGGTTCCATCGTTTCTACTTTGTTCTCGATCTTCAAGCCAAGTTGGCCTAAATATTCAACCACCTGTTAGCTTGCCCTAACCCTAACCAACCCTTGTGCGTTCGTGTGTAGGCTGAGATGGCTCTGCTGATGGAAGACGACGCAGATGAGGCCAAACACAAACACTTCAACTACGACAAGATTGTGGAGCAACAGAACCTGAGCAAGAAGAAGAGAAAGAAGCTGCTGAAGAAGGGGGAGGAGTCACTGGACAACGACGACTTCCAGGTAAAACCTCCAGCTTCCTTCAACAGCCACAACAGAGCAGCTCTGTTTCCTGTGTGTAACTGGACGGACTTAAAGTTCAGTCTGTGTTCAGTCACTGTGTGAAGCTGTCTGAATGTTACAAACCCGGTGTTCCGGCCCTTTAAATGACGATGTCTCCACTCCCTGTGTGCAGGTGGACGTTAGTGACCCTCGTTTCCAGGCCATGTTCACGTCACATCTGTTCAACCTGGATCCTTCAAACCCCAACTACAAGAAGACCAAGGCCACGCAGAGCATCTTGGCTGAGAAGCAGCGTCGCCGTGAGGCGGAGGAGCAGCGGCAAACGGAGGCCAGGCTCACCCCTGATGTGACTCCCATCACACAGAAGGACTCGGCACACACAGGAAATAAAAGGGAAAATGACACTGACGCTCCCGTGGAGAAGAAGAAGGAGCTGGACCCAAGTTTGTCTCTGCTCGTCAAGTCCATCAAGAGTAAAACGCAGCAGTTCCAGGCGCGGAAAAAACCAAAGTTGGCATAGTTTTGATGGAGTTAAAACTTTAATGGACTACGATGGTTTATGCTTGGTAAAGATGGAGCAGGCTGGGAAAAAAATCTGGTGAAAGAAAGGAAGATAGCTGAATAATGTTTGGAATGTTTCAGTTTTTAATAAAACAAAAAAATATATTTTATGGAAATCAGTAACATTTTAAAATCAAATAATCAAACAAAAACTGGATTTTTTAAAAACATCCGTTAAAATTAATCTGCATTTATACCAAACATAGATCACAGCAGGGTTTTAATGCTGAATGAGTAGTGTTTAAATTAGATCAAAACGTCCTGTTTTGCTTTGTATTTGTAAACTTCTACTGGAGACTGTGAGTTACTCTGTGGTTCTGTAATATTACAGCCAAGTTCATTCACTTCTTTAATGGATTCTCCAGTGTTAGTTTTAAATTACCAAGAAAATTCCAGATAATTGTTTCTCATATTTCTGCTCCAAACACTGAGTTCATTTAGAAACTATACAATCAATAAACTGATCGATAAGATTTCTAGGTACTTCTAGTACAGGCAGGTGGATGTGACCTGTAGGTGGCGTCTACGGTCCTGGGTACTCAAAGACAGCAGCTGCTCCCATCCCAGTCCCGATGCACATGGAGACAACACCATAAGCTCTGCAGTCACAGGAAAATAAAAAATACTGGATTTAACACGTCTCCAGGGGGCAGTAAAGGTTCTTTAATTTAAAAATAAAATAAACTATAGCCAGGTTACTAAATTATTTGATTTCTTGTGGAGTCAATAGAACAATTGTCAACAAAACCTTTATTATATATAAACCAAAGTGTTGACGTGGAGGATTCAAACCTGCGTCCTCTACGTTTGAGTTCGTTGAGCAGCGTCACAACCTGTCGCGCTCCAGTGCAGCCCAAAGGATGACCCAGTGCAATAGCGCCACCATTAGGATTCACCTTCTCCATAGGAATGCCCAGCTTCTCCACGCAGTACACCGCCTGAAATAAGAGGAATAACATATATGTCGCCCTCTACTGGCTGTTGGCAAAAACGCTCTCAAACCCTGCCTACAGTAGAGCAGGGTTTTGAACGGGTTTCGTCACCTGACTGGCGAAGGCCTCGTTGATTTCAAAAACGTCAACGTCAGCCACAGTCAGACCTGGAGAGAAAAACAACGATTTAACATTGGAGTCTCATACAAAACTAATTTTTAAAATTTTTATTCAGGCCGTTTGATATCATGTCACCACACACTATAATTATTATTTCAAAGCAGCTAATCTGTATTTTTTTTTATTCTTTAATTAGCATTATATTATAGCATATTAGCATTATACTCCTTACGTAAAGTTCACCACAATTTAGTTTATTTTTTATTTCTTTTAAGTCACTCAAACCACCAGCACACGACTCCACTCTATGGTGCAAATCTCACCGGCTCGTTCCAGCGCTACAGGGATGGCGTAGGCGGGTCCAACACCCATGAGATCAGGGGGAACTCCGACTACAGCACTGGCCCTGAGGACCCCCAGCACCGGCAAACCACGAGCCTCCACCGCAGACCTGCGACCAATCAGCAGTGCTGCTGCTCCGTCACTCACCTGGCTTGAGTTTCCTGAGAGCAGAACCACACACACACACATAAGTGAAACCGCGGTGATTGTGTTGAACCTAATGGTGGCGCTGCAACGTACCTGCGGTGGTGCTGCCGTCTGCTTTGAAGGCGGGTCGCAGTTTGCTCAATCCTGCTAACGTGGTTCCCGCTCTGATGCCATCGTCTTTACTGACGATCACCTGACGTTCGCCGCCATCGGCGTCCACTAACTTAGTGGAGACAGGAACGACCTCCTGGTCGAACACACCTGTGCTCTGTGCGTGGGCAGCTCTGGGGGAAAGGAGGCGGAGCCTGGTTACAACTTTAACAGACACACTACATGTATATATTATATATTATTACATTTTTTATATTACTGATATTTTTGTGATATAGATCAAATCAAGGTACTTTTGTTGTGAACTGAGAGCAAAAGCGTCCTGCTTCTCTCTGGAGATTCCATATCGTTCTGCCACGTTCTCCGAGGTAATGCTTCAGTCACACCAGTCACAGCAGAAGAACCGATAACAGAAACACAAGGATCATCAGAGGAGACAGGAAACTCAATCACAACAAATATCATAGTCTTGTGGTTGTTCTGATACGTTTCTAATTCCGTGTTTTCTGAGGTGTCCTAATTCACTGCTGTCCTAAGTGATGGTCTCACCCCATTGGGATGATGCAGTCTCTGGCTTTGTCGATGTCCATCAGCCTGGAGCTCAGATCTCCAGGGTTTTCCATGGAACGCAGAGACATGCTTTCCACACTGTGGAAACACACACACACACACACACATATCAAGATTTCACTTCACTGTTGATTCACAAAGTCAGAAAAAGAATGTACAGAAGAATTCTCTGTGACTAAAAGGACAAACTAAACCTCATGGTGTTTTTTTGGAAGGTTTGTTGGATTCAGACGAGGTTGGAAAATATTTTGTTTTACATCAAGTCTCCTACAGGGGGCATTGGCTGGTTATGTTAACCACAAAAGCAAAGGCATCACATCACACCAACCACACCAGTGAAACCTACCCACAGGCGAGACCCAGGTTGATGGTTCTACTCCTGATGGCTCCTGGACAGAGACAGAGAAACCGTCAGAGAAAGGTTGGTCATGAATTCCATCCAGCTGCAGCTGTGGACTTTTTACCTGCGATGTTAAGCAACGCCTGCAGCCCCGAGGAGCACTGTCTGTTGACGGTGTAGACAGGAACCGATTCTGGAAAACCACTAAAGAGACGACAGACGTCAGACACTGACACAACAATGATTGACTTTCTACAAACATTTAAATACAGCATTTGTGGCCATTGACTTTCTACAAACATTTAAATACATTCTCTGTGCGGACATCTTGCAGAAGCTGTGTTTTTTACAACCAGTTCAGATGATGGTTGTCCTCCCAGTGAATGTCCACACTGTGTGTCTTAAGTGGACAATGATCTCACCTGAGGAAATGAGACACCCGAACCACCAGGGCTCCAGCTCCGGGCTGCAGCACGTTTCCTGCACACATGTCCATCAGGATGATAAGATGTGTTGGTTCTGTGTGTTGTAGTTTTTCTGACACACGTCACACTGAGAGCTCATCTCACCCACACAGATGTCCCCCAGCTGCTCCGGAGACAGTCCCACCTCCTTCAGCACGGCTGTCATGGCTGTGCTCAGCAGCTCGTCAGGTGTGGTGTCCTAGACGATGACAAGGTTTAGTGACATGGAAATTATGCTACACTTAAATGAGTGACACTGGATGTGACCCTGAAGCCTCTGTTGGCCAAGTTAAGTACTGCAGTTTGCCTTAGTTTCTCCTTCAGCAGTTATTTGTGATATATTCATATACTTTGGTTTGAGCTTTTTTGTGCAGTTCTTACCTTGAACGCTCCCCTCTTTGCTTTGCAGATGGCGGTCCTCACCCCATGAACCACCACCACATCATCAGGGTCTGAACTTCCTCTGCTGCTGCTGACACCCACTGAGCCACAGTCCTGTCTCCATAGGTCCTGTCCATGATCCCAGGCACCAGAGGGACAGAGATGACCTGTGTGTGGTGACACATTTGGATATTTTTACTCTACGACAAATTCTGTGATTGAATTCTTGCCATATGTGTCCAATTAAAATCTAGACAAAAATATATTTTTGGTATATTTGTGATCCGTCTTTTGGGCATTGTTTCTGCTGATTGCTTAATTATTCTAATTTATGGCGACTGGCTTTTATTCATATTGAGTGTTTTTTTTAAATAATTCCTGAGATAATTGCTACCCTTTGTAATAAATTATGGTATGTTTGTTATGTGTTAGCTTCTTCTACTTTAACCTTTGTTCCTACCTTTATCGATGTGCTTAGTTGAGCTATTTCAAATCTAACTTAAGGCTATTTCTCAGTCCTTTTTTATTTTTTAGCAGTCTTTAAGTTCATTATCACGTTTATTCCGCTTTAAATTGTCTATGACTCCTAGGTGACTTTCAGGGATTTAGCACACGAAAAAAGATCGCTGGATAAGTAAACAAAACATCTTTCCACCTGAGGGTTCTCGTGTAATTAAAACAATATTAAACATGAAAAGACGAAAAGGATTAGTCCAAGATGACAATCATACATTTACAAAATATCTCTGGTTTATATGAAATGCTTGTCAGACCTGAAATGATCTTTAACCTGTTCATCAAGGCGAATTAAAGATCCACAGTTCGCTCAGTCCGGAAACTCTGAGGAGAAGGACGGCAACCGCAGAGGGACAAAATAGTGACTCTCGTCAATACGCTTCTCCCGTTACCCAGCATTTGACGTTTCTTAATCAAAACTCCCGTTACCCAGCATTTGACGTTTCTCAAAGTGTCTCAACGAAGCATTGATGGTTATATTTACAGTAAGTGATGTATAGTAGGGACTGTGCGAGAGTGAACGATCCGATCATGTTTTTCTGTTTGCCAAAACAAGGAAACGTGCGGTAAAATTGACGACATTCGTTGAGTTCGGGACAAACTAACTATACAGGTCATACGTATTCGTGTTACAGCATTTCACCTGATTAATCAAAGAAGAGTCGGTAGGAAAATTAATATTTTATTTGTAAAAGTTGATTGTTCTTAAGGCCACAAACTAGGTCACTGGCACATTCAACACAGAGATGTTGAAAACAACATGTTTACAAACATGTTCAATGTGGTTCTGGATCAGATAAACAAATAAACAAACAGGAAACAGTCACAGAAACACATTGACAATCTTCAGAGTATAGGAAATTAAAATCACAAGAAGTGTAGATGGTCTCTAAATAAAACAGTTAATATAAAGTTTCTTCTCGGTAGCAGAGCCCCCCTCAGGTGATCTGAGGAACTTCATGCTGGTTAGCGTTAACGTCATGTTAAGATGCTCCTTTCAGCACCAAAGATATTGGCACAAAAAAATTGATTTCTAAATTAAAAACAGAGCTTACCTTAGAGCCTGCATGTTACCCATAATGCACTAGGAGGATCAGTGCAACCCTGTGAACCGCAAGTCTGCAGCTACAACAAGACACAAATGCCTTAAAGGCTAGAAATGGCATGGTGCCTCAAAAAAGATGGCAGCGCCCAGGTTTCCATTTGTGCTTTAACTCATCACTGTGTAAGATGTTCTATCATCGATGTGTATTTACAAACATCCGTCTTTTCATTATTGCGATAACTAGGCAAACACCAACATTATATCATAATGAGGACATGAAACAATACTGTTTTTTTACATTCAATACTCAATTAATTGTGATTCACAATATTATGTCAGTCGGTAATTATGTTTTTTTTTTACAATTATTAAATAGATTCTCCATTGTCCTGCTGTGTTTGATTTGTAATGTTAAATATGTTGAATAAAGATGCTAAAAAAAGAATAAAAGCATATGTTATGCATACTGTGACAACAGCATGACACCAAGGATACAGACTTTTACTAAACATTTTAAATAAAAAGAAAATATTAAGATGGAATTGAAAACGTGGAATGACTAAAAAACATGGCTCCCCCTACTGGCACTTTAAAATAGAATCACTAGGATGGCATCTTGGGTCATCACTAGGAGCAACAGGGTGAACTTATCAGCAGTGTTAAAAACCTTTTCTTTTCAACAGATTTGTTTTCTTGGTGATGTTCCCCTCATGCGTAGAAGATGAGTTCTGGTATCTGACCTCCCTGCACACCAGTACCGTTGGTGCTGTCTGATGAGCACTGGAATTGGAAGGTCACTTTGCCACACTGCACCTCCGTCATGCCCTCCTGGCCAAAATAGCTCAGCTCGTTCCCGTCCAGAACCACGCTAGCAGTGTAGAACGTGTCCGGCTCGATCTGCACCGGATACTCAAACCAGACGGTGAAAGTGCTGCTGGAGCCGTCAGAGAAGTATTTGATGATCCTCTGTGCCATTGGCACACCCTGGCGTTTCAGCTCAATCTTAGCGCTGTACTCGGCCGAGCCACAGCTGGAGCCGTAAAGCCCAAACCCAGCTATGAAAACACGCTTGTCTACGGCAAACTGGATGCTGTCGCACCGTCCTCGGTACCGCCATTGGTTGCTCCTGTATGCACAGGACTGGAAGCGGTGGCACCGTTGTGGAGCCAGGCCTTTGCGAGGTTTCGTACAGAACAAGAGTTCAGGTTTATTGGCGGCGGTGTACCACAAAAAGATGTCATTGGTCTCGTTCAGAGTGAGGACACCAGACTGTGCTGCACCATTGGCAAAGTCCTCCAGGACCATAGTAGGTATACGAATCAGGTAGATCGCCTTCCCGAGTACCAGCCGCTTATTCTCAATGGTTGGGGACAGTTCCTGACGTTGGCACTCAGCCTCTGCCCAGTTCAGTGTTGCCTCAAACACAACCATCTCTTTGGCGTTAAGTGTCTCTCGGCGCAGAATACTCTCTAATGTTTGTATGTCAATATCACAGAATCCTTCAGAGCGAAGTGCTAGCTCAGCCTGAGCATCGATCACCTCCCAGCAACGCTGTGTCAGGTCAGGTTCTTCAAACAGACAGCTCTGTGACAGCAGCACACACGCGTTCTTTGCACTAAGACTTGTCTCCAGGAAGCTCACACAGGCCCGTGCCAGGTGAGGAACGATGTACTTTTTGGCAGCATAAAGGGTGGCGAGCACCGTGTCGGCACACAGGTCGATCTCGTCACAGTAGATGTATCTGTGGAGATGTAGCACTTAAGTTACCACCTCACAATAATTAGTCAATTTGATGTAAATTAATGCTTAATTCGAGGTTGATTTACTTCAGCATAGCCAGGAAAGACGGTGGCTCCACATCTGGGATCCGGATCTCATCCTGATCCTCAGCCAGTTCCCCGTAGAACATAGCATGGAACACAGAGCTGCCGACCGCTAAGACGTACTAGCAGAGCAGACAAAATGAAGGATAAGTTAAGACACATGACATTTTAAACCAACACCACACAACCTCTTTTAAGGAAAGGCATTAGACCAACAGTCTAAGAGCCAATAGGCAAATAAAAACAAATAAAGCTCTCAATTTTATTTACAGAAAAAGCAAAAGTTTTTATAACAACATAAAACACAACAACACGGTGGTGTTGGTACTGTAACTGCTGCTGTTTAAAGTGTGATCGATGTGAGATGATTATGTTGTTATTTTGTTACCTTGTGACCTGGAACTCTTTGTGTTCCACCAGGGGGTCCAACCACAAAGTGAACATCTGCCATCATTTCATTGTTGAACATGACTGAGTTTCTACGATAAAGATCAAAACACAGATTCATGTGAAAAAAGGAAGAGGAATAAAAACATCACTGTTGGCAAACAGCTACTGTTTATTACCAAATCCCTGTCCCAAAATCAGTAGGTAACTTTGGCCATTAATTATTTTGTATTTCCATTGTCATGCTATAACACTGTTGTAGTGTTTTGGCCCTCACCTCTCTCGGATGCTGGGGTAAAGACCCTGCCAGCTGCAGGAACTTTGTGCACTGATGCTGCTGTTGCTGCTGCTGCCGTTGTTGTTGGTCACGTTCTGATGCTGCTCCTCCTGCTGCACGGATGAGTTACTGCTGGTGGTGGCCGGAGGCAGCAGCGTGTTAGCAGGAAACAACTCAGCAGCCATTGTGAGACGTCAGACTGAAAGATGAATCATGGCTGTGACCAAAAAAAAATGTTTTATTACTTTATTATACAGACTCTACAGGTGGCAAAAACACACCTTCTAAGATGTTAACTTTAGTTTAAACAACATAAATTTAACAATTATTCACCTCTATTGATGAAACTATTAAGTCATTTACTATTTGTAACCAAGAGGTTCCACTTATTGTGAAAAAAGGTTAAATTGTAAGGTAAGACTTCTGTAAAAATTAATGACAAACTTAAGATGTATTGTTATTCAAAACAAGAGCATTCAAAATGTTTGACAGCGCCTCCTACAGGGTAGAAGGGTAACATGATGTGTTAAAAAAACTATATGTATATCTCATCTTTGTTAAATATGAAACGTTATGTAACCTGCTGTCAAATTAGTTTTTTCTGACGTGGAACTGCTAAACAGTTAGCTGACGGCTAACTACACACAAACGCCGTCGACACGACATTTACACTAAAGACAGGAAAACATGTCAATACATGACGTCATGTGAGCAAAGAGTGAAAACATTGGAAACATTTTAATAAGGAGGCCTCTAAATTAAACGCGCCTACGCCCGCTGCTAACAGTAGCATGTGATGCTAGGAAGTGGCTAAACTAAAGTGAGCCAAATATTCGCCATATTTTAACAGTTTACGTTAAAATCGATCCACCGACCTGAAGATTGAGCTGTTTCCTCTTATTCTCATCACACTGAAAAGGCTCCACTAACGAATAATACCACGACATTAACTCTGTTTACACATCTGTTTATCCCTTTGCTTCTTCTGCTGCCGTAGTTTCCTGTTGGTTAAAGTCGCAGCTGGCCTCCTACAGGATAGACGGGATACTGCACCACCCGCAAACAGTTGATGTTTTTAAGTTTGATATAGATTTTTTTCCTAAAAAGAATTAAAGATAAGTAGGTACCTAGCACCACCCGCAAACAGTTGATGTTTTTTTAAGTTTGATATAGATTTTTTTTTTATAGATTTTTTTTCCTGAAAAGAATTAAAGATAAGTAGGTACCTGAAATAAACTTTCAAAATATATTTTATCTAAAACATAAAAATATATATATATGGCAGTTTACACAGAAGACAGGCTGTCTACTTGATATTTCTCCATTTTTAAAGAATCTTTCCAACACAAACATAGCAGAAAAAACACAAGTCTCTAGCATGATATACAACATATACCTTTATTATTGTTATTGATAAATATGTATCTCTCCCATTTATTTCAAATTAAAAAGAACAACAGCTATATAATTCTTTATCTACATATCATGGTCTAAATTCTCTACAATGCTTCACTGTACATGGGAAATAACGAAATTAATAATATATTAATAATACATTTTTGTATTTAGTTAAACTGACATCATTCAAGGAAGTGATGTCACACCTATAAGTGCTATAACCTTCAAAAGTAACTAACTTGGTAAAATAAAGAGACGAGTTCTGATGCTTCTGATAAAAAATGGTTTCCTCAAACAACAGTTGTTCAACAATGGATAGTTGATGTGTACAGTAGAAACACTATGAATACCTCACATTTTTCTCAGTAATCAAATATGCTGTGACTTTTTTACAAAGTGAAAATAACTTACTATAATTAGGTGACTAGAACAACAAGGTCCAAATGTTCTTCAGAGATTACATAACGCATACCTTCACTTGTATTAACTAGCTTTCCTGACTTTGCCCTTAGCCTTTAAAATAGTTTAATATTATTGTTAATGTATGATAGCTGCCATTCATATTTATGTCACGTGTCACATGTCAATTCAATGTAAAAACATTGTATCGAGTTTCGTGTTGAAGGCAGCAAGAATTAATAACTCACGTTCTAGTCCTATGTGCACACGCCCTTCACATTAATGAACAAAAGTGCTTTAAAATCTAAAAACTGTACAAACAGCTTTTTTAGGCTTTTCTCCGCTTACATTAGTAAAGTTTTCAGAAGGAAACAGCTTCATCGTTCAACACAGAATTTTGGTTAAAAAAAGAATTAAACAAAAAACAGGGAGTGACACGTCACAACGGAGCAGCAGAATAAACTCTCAAGTTAGAAAACGTCATCATCAACAAACAAGGAAGCCAATAAAAAAGTTTAACAAACAAATTTACCAAACCAACAACCCAGAGGACTGAGTTAGCATTAGCAACCTGTCACGTTGGTCTGATGGTTGTTTGTGTTGATTCTAAAACCATTACAAAATCAAAGAAGAAACAACAATGAAAACATACAGTAGTGTCGCAGGTTTTAACAATCAATAAATTATTAAAATAAACCTCAATACAAATATTTACATCAGAAAAAACATATGAAAAAAATACACAAAAATTACCAGTTTGTTCCCAGAATACCGCAAACTCTATGATGACTTTAATGTAGTCGTGTTTACACGTGCAAAACTGCCACTTTTGGTCCTTAGACCTGCTGAGCAATCAAAAACCATTAAGTTATCGTTTGCTTAATTGAAGCAGACGAGGGGGCAACAATCTTAAGCTCCGCCCACACTGACATTATTTTAGTGGCGAATCAGAAGAATTCTCTTTACCTTAAAACTGACATAACATGATCATACATTGTATATGTTACGTCAACGACATACAGGGGTTAGCATCGCTACTATATTAGCATGCAATTTTCAAAATAAAAGTTTCCACTTGTTGATCAACTGTTAATCCACATTCAACATTTCCAAGATCAAATTTTGTTCACAAACTCACACGACGCCACAGCTTTGAAATTTTCCACAAAAATAAATAATAATTTACAAAGCTGCAGTTTTGCAAAAAATAAAGATCATTGTATCTCCTCTTCAGCACTTTAGCATTAACCTCCAGATTTTGTTCCTCAAACTTTTATTTTCTGTTTCTCTAGGTACAGAAAAAACAACCAATTTTCCTAAACCTCTCGCTGTAACATTCTTATCAATGTTCATTAGGACTCTAATAATAATGACAACGAAATAAAGTGTCTGATTATGTTTGCCTACAATAATAAATTTGGGCATTTCACAATAAAAGCCTCTGTTTGTCTACACTTAAATCCATGCCAAGTGAATAAAATATCAGTAAAAGCAGTCGCCATAGCAACAGTTGTCATTGTGGGCGGGGCTAATATCTGCTCAACTTGAATTCTAAGATCATGTAAAGGCACAGACCAACGCAAACACAGACTAGAGCTGAAGATGACAGGTGCTTGTTTTTGGCTTGTTGTCTGTTCCTCATTGGCGTGTGGAGTGTTGTCAGGACCCAGGCCAGCCGAAGTCCAGTGAGTATGTGTGTGTGTGTGTGTGGTGGGGGGGGGATGCGGGGGGTGAGTGGTGGTGTTCAGTCATACAAAAACCTTGGCAAGCGCGTCAGCACCGGCGCTGCCGATATAGCACATGGTTGGGTGGAACGCCACAGCGTGGATGGACTCCTCAAACTTCTTACGGTGAGCTGTGACCTCCTGGATGCACGTCTTGGTTTCCATGTTCCACAAACGCACAGAGGAGTCGTGACCTGAGGAGAGAGTTGATGCAGAAGGGAGGTCAGGTGTGTCTGTATGTGTGGCAACATTGGGCGTGTCCGGCGCTCGAAGACTTACTTCCTGACATGAGGTAAAGTCCATTTGGATCCACAGCCAGACTGGTCACCGAGTCCAGATGAGCCACCATGGAGTGGACACATTTACCTTCACAATAAAGAACATAGTTACTGTGCAAATCAAGAAGCTAGACGTGTTTTTAGGAGTTACTTTAGCTGCAATTCAACATTAGCTTCTGCTAAGTAGCCTCCTTTAATGTGATATATGCAGATGACATTAGTCTGACATTAGATAGTCTAATGACAACCATCAACAACATTAGCCAAGATGAAACGTTCCAAAATTAGTCGCAGTAAAATGGTAACTTCAAATAGCAGCTGTCAGCATTCCGTTTCAAGCAATATTAGGTTTCATTACATTACGTTAGTAGCGTGTTAGCTAAATTATTTTGTTGCTAACATCAGAAGCAATTCGACATCTGCTGTGACTTCATATAATTTTCTGTTATTTAATAAATGTTATGTAATGAATCAGTTATTCATCAGAGATTTTCTGCTCTTAACGTGGTCTGTCTTCATTCATCAGCTGACATTTGACGCTAATAAATACTTGAAGCTGTTAGCCAGCAGTAAATGATGTAGCTGCTAACTAAGCCTGCTTTCAAATAATTGCTCGAGCATTAGTAACACTTTGTTTAAAAGCTTTACATAAACATTGGTAATTTCACTGAATGATATCAAGTGAAAAGCAGGAAATCAGTGTGACATCCAGACAAAGAAACTCCTGGGTCGTTCACAGCATGTGCCACGGTGAGGAAGAAGCTCAGCGTCAGCTGACCTGTGTTGTTGTCAAAGAACTGAATGTGGCGATCCTCCTGAGCCGTGATGGTGATTGGAAGCGTAGGATGACTCAGCACTTTGTTGATTTTACATGGAGCGTCTGCGAAAAACAAGCGTCAGTGTCAGCTGACACAGTGTCACATGGTAAAATCATCACACTGTAGAAGACGTGCCTTATTATATACATGATAAATATTCATTCGTTTTATTGTAGTTGTTTAAATATTGCAATATCTCTATGGTTTCCTAAATTTAACTGCTATTTCATTTATTTTCCTATCTCTATGGTTTCCTAAATTTAACTGTTATTTTTTATCATTTATTTTCAAAATTGTCCTTTTAATACTTTGTTTACTGTGTTTTTATGTCAGACAGAAGTTAATTCATGCAACAACCCTTATTTGATTCACCCCAGTTACACAACATGGCCAGATGAGGCAGCAGTGAACCAGCAGCATTATTATAACTGAATTCTTCTTCTTCTTCCTCTCACTACCCTCCAGACTCATCTACCTGGTGGTCCAGCAGAATCAATCTTCAGGATGAGCTGCTGAGTCTCCATGTTAAAGAGGCAAATGTGTCCCGTGGAGAATGACGTTATCATTTGATTTGGTTCACAGGTCACCACGTCAACCGAGGTCGGCACACCCAGCTCTGACAGCCCAGAAAGGAGGAGGAGGAGGAGAAGAGGTCAAAACCATGACGGAGTCAAACAGTGGACGTATTAACAGGGTTAACTTCAACCTTGAGCTCTTGACTTCTACAGGTTTTTATACTGAAATCCAGCAGAGTGTCCTGTTTGTCCTTCTACCGTGTCCTGGTCTCTTACCTCCTTTTTCGTTGAAAACAGCGAGACACGGTGAGGTATCTGCAGCGTTCCACAACCGCATCGTCCCATCGGCGGAGCAAGACAGAAGACGGTGATGGGCGGAGCTATGGACCACACCCCACACTGAGTCGGTATGACCAGAGAGCGCCCCCCTGAGGACAGAGGAATCTGCAGCACAGAGCATAGAGCGCAATTCTGTTTATATTAGAACTGAGATTCACTGATTCTAATAAATGTCACCGACAGAAAGTGAAAAATACCGTATGAGTCGTAGGGGTCGATGTTGGGATTAGGGAGGTTCCAGCTCTGAATGTTACCGTCCACTCCTCCGCTGAAGCACTGTTCACCGTTGGATGTCATGGTGACGCAGAGCACGGCTCCACTGCAGAGACGGTACATCAGTGAAAGGTTTTATTAAGGTAATATTTTAGGAGCTCACAAATCTGAACTGGGAAATGAACCCAGAGTTTTCCGGTCGGCGTCTCACCTGTGTGCTCTGAACGTGTAAACGGGCTCCACATCTAACGCAGCACATCTGCAGAATCAGGAGACACAGATGTGACGTCATCGTATCATACACTCTCTCTACACCTGAACTGTTATCAACACGCCGCGGCCCTACTTCTTGGCTGGCGCCGTCTTCTGGAGGTTCCACAGTTTGAGGGTGTGGTCCTCGGAGGCGGTGATCAGGATGGGCTCCACTGGATGAAAGGCCAGACTCCTCACTGAGTCAAAGTGGCTGCGCAGAGTAAACTTGGGATTCCAGGTCTTCCTCAGGGCGTCCGTGCTGGTGCTGATCTGAGGAGGAGGAAAAAAAGGAAGGTGAAAAATCTGAGGTGATAGAATCTCCCGTCTGTGTTTTCAGTGTTCTCCTCACGTCATATGACGTGCCGTCAGCTTCGTTAGCCACGGTCAGTCCGGCCAGTTCTCCCAGACCGAGCTCGTGGGAAACCGCCTCATCCACTTGACCCAGGATGAAAGATTTTCCAGGTGATGGTAGGAATGTCATGGCCTCTGTCACGAGAAGAACCAAAGAACCGCGTTTAAAACAGAACCGTGAATGACAACAAGAGGGCGGGAAATAAGAGGGAAGTTACCCTCGTCCAGCCGACCGATTTCCTGTTCTGTAAGTCTGGGGACACTAGGCCTGGTGGGCGGAGCCAAAGAAGGCTGGACTGATGGGAGATCCTCAGCATCACGGAGGTTGGCTAACATGTCCTGGAGCTTAGAGCGGTTTGGTCCTGTGTGGAAAGAGAAGGAAAAAAAAATAAAAAACAGAAGCGAAAAAGTGGCAGAGAAGAAAGATAAGGAATGAGGAGAGGAAAGAGAATGAATAAAAGAATAAAAGAGAGCAAAGTGAGAGAAGACAAAAACAAAGAGAAGAAAAAAAATATAAAATGGATCACGACAGGTGAGAAGAAGAAGCAGAGCCACCCAACACAGAGTGAAGGAGAGAAGATGAAGGTGGAGGAGCACGCACTCTTCACTCCTTTTTTGCCCTTGCGCTCCTTCCTGTACTGCTCCTTCAGTTGGGCGATCAGACTCTGATCCACAATCCAGGACGCTTCAGCCACGGAGGACGGCTGCTGCTTCTCTATGTACCAGCAGGGGGAGACACAAAGGCTCAAAACAAAAAATAACCAAATAACTTCACTTCACTTCCTCATGATACAGAAATAAAGACTTCATTGAACTATTACCAACCCCACTCACCGGTCCCAGGCTCAGGCAGTCCGTCCAGATCATCCTGACCCGCCAAGAAATCGAACCCCTTCAGGGCCTTCTCTGCGTCTGGGTCGTCACTGAGGTCTGAAGTCGTAGAAGACGGCATTGATGACTGTTTCTTCTTCACTAACTGTTAAAACAACAACACGAGAAACAAGGTTTGATGTGTAGTTTTATATATACATCATCCAGTGTCACAAAGATTCTTAAAATCATTTTTAAATGTCATTTTCTATCGCATTATTTTGTTGTTTTTGCGTCGTCTCACTGTAGCCAGTTCCAGGATGGTTCTGTCCTGCCCTTCGGCCTCCTCTTCTTCCTCCTCATCTTCATCACAGAAGGCTACGGCGCTCTCAATGAATTTGAAGGCCTCCAGCACGGTGGCGGAGTCGGACATTTCAGGTTTACTGAAGCAGGAAGTGGATATGTTAGCCCAGCCGACGAAGGCAAACAGTAAGAGTAATAATTGGCAAAATCATCTGCGAGTTTTAGAGAAGTCTATTGTGGCTTTATTTTTGGTTTATAACAGTTTTGTGTTGGTTAAGATGATAAATGAAGGCAATTCTTTACTTTAATATTTGCTAAATTATTAAAAATATGATGATCTTCAATCTTAACTGGACCAGTGCCTTATTTGATTAATTTTGAGAGTATTTAGTTCCTCATACAGTACCTGATCATGGTGCTGTAGTTCTGAGACGACGGTTCGGTACCGTTGACCATGGGTTGAGTTCTGCTGACTTTGGAATCCTCCGTCAGACCGAGTAGACCTCGCACTCGCTGAGACTTCACATCCAGGATGGTGTCAGTGTAGCCCACTTCCTGCAGGTACCTGAGGGACCGAGGGTTGGGGTTAGTTCTGTTCTCCTTGACCTGACCCGAACTTTTAGTCTCAGACTTTCAAAACAAAACAGTTTCAACAGATATAAAGAAGACAGTACTAGTAAAATGAACTGGCTTGGTTTATTTATAGTACAGCTTCATAACACCTGCTATCGCTATTTGTTAGCTCTTATTGTACGGCGCCAACATCTGCTTAGACCTGATAACTTCAGACCAAAATATGCTACTTTCACTCCAAGTTTTTTTTTACTCCTGATTAGTTCTTCTAACCCCAGTATCTGCTTTCAACCAAACTAGATTATTTTTACACTGAATAACTTCTGTAACACCAAGTAGACACGTCTTCAAACATTGGTTCTAAACACCTGTTTAGTCATGTTAGCATTAGCACTCTTTTAAATATGCTAAAACATGACTCACTTACAGTAGGGTTTCTATTAGGTAAAATGAAAATGTTAACTTATGTTATTAATGTTTACAGTACAGTACAGAGTTAGCATTGTAATTATCATAATAATCTCATTACCTCCAGTCTGACCAGGGAAAAAAAAAAACAAGTTCCTCTCAGGTAACGCCATAAAACTGAACAATCATCAGTTTATTACTTTTGTCAAGCAAACAAGTAAATAATCAGATTAGTTATTTATTAACTAACTAGAACTGACGGTGTATAAATGTAAATTTCTGATTGTAAACCTCAGTTACAGTTTGTAATTATTATTATTATTATTGTTATTATAAAGTTTAGACTCTGTACTGACCTTTAGCTGTAAAACACCTGGACCCTGACCGTTTTTAATCCCCAAAGGACGGGTAAGATTTGTGAATGGAATCTGATGTGTTTTCTCCAGAGATACAGTTTGTAATGAGAGTGAGAGAGAGAGAGAGACAGAGAGAGAGAGACAGAGACGGAGAGAGAGAGAGTCTGTACCAGCCTCTGCCATCACAGGAGGCCTCCATGTCTCCACACAATCCTCCATTCACTGACAACACACACAGACACCCCTACATACACATAGACACACACACACACACACACACACTTGTGTGCTGCAGCATTTCAGTCATTTATAAATTTGTAAATAAAAAAATAAACAAAGAATTAACGAGAAGTAACGATACAGGGTGACTCACATTGTTGCGAATGTAATTAGCGATTTAGAAAGCGTCATTATTTAAACAGAGCGTTAAACAAAACTTTAGCTAATTTTACCGAACTAGAAAGCGTCATTATTTAAACAGAGCGAACAAAACTAATTTTACCGAAATAATGCTAAAAGCTAACGGCTAATAGCTAATAAACGCCAATATTAAAAGACCGTAAACTCATGATTAGATTAGTGCAAATTTAGATTAGATCCTACTTTATTAATCCCACACTGGTGAAATTGTTGCGCGCTTATGCTACCGCTAACACACAAAACCTTTGTAAAAAAACAGGGTTTAATTTAAGTTGTAGTAAATGTTTGCAGGTTAAACAGTAGGGATTTAGGCCAAAGCTAATGTCTTACTGCTATGCTAAGTGTTAGCAGTGAGCTGATGTTAGCTAATACAGCAGATATAAGTGCTAAGATATGCTAGGAAATGTTAGCCGATGTGACTGGGAGCTAGAAGATGCTAACACTGTAAACCAGGTAAGTGTAAGCAGATATTATAAAAAAGAAAAAGGTGATCTGATGGTGAGCTCATGTGGACGCAGGTGAAAAGTTGCCAGTCAGTATTTGTCAGACAAACGAAGTTTGAATTCTTAGGGAAAACTCACTGCCTGAGCAGCTGACGTCCCTGTTTCCAGCTGAGCTGATGATGGCTGCTTATGTTTGGAGGACTGGGAGCTTCAGTGTCATCACCCTCATCTGAAACACACACACACACACACACGCCAGGTTTTCAAACGTCTAGTAAAATGATACTTTTCAGTCCACGCGGATCTAAACCAGGACCATCACAGATCTGTCAACGATCAAGACGTTATCCTCTAGAGATTCACTCATGATGTAGGTGGAATTTGGACCTGTTGATGAAGCAGCTGTTCACACTCCGAGCTGGTGTTGACCACATTAATTCAACACCGTATCTGGATTTATGACACCTTACAGTCACACTGGTGCGTTCTACCTGAGTCATAACTGGGGACTTCAATCTCTCCCTGGTTCAGGTCGGTTCCATATTTCAGTTTGTGGTACTTGGCCCTGGGAAACAAAAACACACACACACTCTTATCAGTGACTCGTTTGTTTCCTGCCAAGTTCCTCAGAGCTCTGATCAGAACTCACCGCTCCTGTTTGAGCGCATACTCCAACATCTTGATTCTTCTCACTAGGTCTTTCTTCAGATTCTCCTGACCTCGTCGCTCGCCCTGGAGGAAGGCGATCTGAGCCTGGAGGTAAACAAGTCAAGCTGCCATTAATGGAGTCAACTGTAGGTTTAGAGCCGAGACAAACGTGCATCAAATCGATGAATTAATTATTGACAAAATATTGCATTTAAAGTCCCTTAATGTACAAACACTCCAATCCTGCAGGTGGCAGTGCTGCACCTAACATTCATTGATTCATCTGTCAACTGAGATTAAACTGAATTTAAAAAACGCATTGCTACTTATTGTGTCAAATATTTCTATTTGATAAAAAAATGATTAAGTCTCTACTTAATTTGATTGATTTTAAAATTTGACCTACAGTATGTGTTCCTCCTCACTCTAGCCGCAAGGGGGCGCTCTTGACACAGTCAGCACTGACCATGTGCGGGTATCAGGTTCTACTTTAGATCATGCAGCTATTTACTGCTCCACTAGTCTACATTCACGGGTCAGCAGTTATCATGAAAGCCCCAAAGCCTCCTGGGAAATGAGGCAGGATTTCTGAGAGTCTGAACGTCCAGCACGGAGGAACTCCTGTGACCTGTGTCAACTTCATGTCTGATCTGTTCTAAGGCCTGACCCTGTGACTAACCTGGTAATAATCAGGAGCCTTAATAATCCATCTTTTTCTCAGAATATGGAGAAAAATAATGTCTTTTTTTCATCATCTCAGAATTCTTACATTTAAGTTGGAAATGTAAGTTAGAATTCAGATTTCTTCTCTCACAATACGTTTTTCCCCAAATCTTTACTTTAAAATGATTGCATTTTGTTCAGATATGAGATAAAAATAATTGATTTCTTACAATTTTCACCTTTACACAGGTCTGTAATAAGGAACTTTTTTTTAAAAAACATCAGAAGTCTTACTATTTTTTTTTTAATAATTCCAGATACAAGTCAAAGTCTGACTTTTCCATCAGTTCTCACGACTTTTTCGAAGGAACTCTATGAAAGTTACATCTCGGAATCCTGAATAAAGAGATGTTTTTAGACTGTTTTTGGATTTTAGATCTATAATAATGCTCACATTTTTTAAATACAGTAACATAAATGTCAACCTTTCATCACGGAGTCTTGTTTAAAATCTAAGATACTTTTATCTCAGAATCCCGACTGTTTTCATGACAATATAATTCTCTGATTTTTACTCTTGTTTTTTCAAGGCAGACATGGAAAAAAAAAAAAAAAAAAAAAACTACACTCCGCAGTTTTCTGACTCACGGCGGAGACACATCTCCTGCAATCACACCAAGTTATGACCGTGACTTTACAGCGGCCAGAAATCTGTGTCATTCCCCGGAGTCTCGTGAGCGGCTCCGGGTGTTGACGACAGCAGCCCCTCACCTGCAGCTCGGCCCGCTCCACCTCCCACTGAGCCCGCTCTACTTCGTACCGGGCCCACTCGTACTGGAGGTAGTGTAAAATCCCCGCGATGCTGTACTGAGCTCCGGCTGTCTCTGTGACGTCTCCGAGCGGCGCAGCTTTGACTCCGCTGCCGCCGCTGAAGAACACCCCGGGGCCCGCCTGCTCGTCCATGGCAGGGCGACGAGGTTCTGGTTCGGCCCGCTGCTTTCAACCGTTCCGGTACAGTGTCCTCTGAAAGACAGTGAGGTCCATTCAGTGAGGTGCTGGTGGGCAGCTGTCAAAACAGCACACTTACGGGAACCGCCGAGTACAATAACATCCGGTGTGGATTTTCACAATAAAAGGACTTATGTTTTCATTCCGATAATATTGATTACTAGGATGATGGGACGCTTTGACTCGACCGTTGTTGACCATTACCACGAGAGCTCGTATTTAATATATCAGTACGAATAACCGACCGTTAAAATAAAGTAAACATACAATATCTTTCTTTTCTTTTTTTTTTTTTACTTTTTTTTATTTATTTAATTTTTTACTTTTGCCAAACCCGTAGCTGTTCTTCTTCGACCCTAACCCAATCCCTTTGACTCTCCCCATCCTTTCCCAGCGTCAGTGATGCCGACGACGATTGGCGCCACGTGTTAATCAGCTGATGCGTCACAGCCGCAGAATTTGTCTATTTAACTGCGGAGCCTCGTCCATCGCACACTCAGACGCTGAGAAAGAACAGAAGGGATCAGAAAAGAAATGCCTCCGTTTGAGAGTAACCACCAGCAGCCGCAGAACAAGCCCTTCAAACAGAGAAAAAGTTTTGGTAAACGATTGACAGTCATCAACCAACAGCCGAAACCGTGTCCTCTGTGATGTGATTTTATTATTAATTTATTTCAGCCACGAGGAAACAGGAGGTGGCAGGAATCAAGTCCAAGTTCCCAAACAAGATCCCGGTAAGTTAAAATTAAAATTTGAGTTTAATTAGTGTTAGACTTTTGTGTTTGCAGATTTACGTCGGCTGATTCGTCACCACCGTGTGAGGAATTGATATAATCGTGTCAATATCGTACATATGAGTAACAACTCATGTTTTTGTTTTTTGGACAGTAGCAAATTAGAACTTTTTTAAAATTTAATTTATTTTTAGCTCTTAGTTTCCATGTGTTTTATTAGTAACTTTATATTTGTTTTTTTTTTAAACATTCTCCATCTCTGCCCTGTCTTCTTCTTCAGGTAATCATTGAACGATATGAGCGTGAGAAGTTTCTCCCTCCTCTGGATAAAACAAAGTTCCTGGTTCCTCATGAACTCACGATGACGCAGTTTGTCACAATCATCAGGTAAAACTTCACCCTCAGCACAACAGCACCTGTATTTAATGATTTCACAAAAACAAATCCTGCACCGTTCAAAGTCAGACGCTGTGGTCCTTTTTTTTATCAGATCATGGACAGATCATGGACAGATGTGTTGCTGCTTCCTGCTTTTAGCCTCCGTCACCATGATCCAGCAAATCATGTCCAGCTGCACAAGGCCTGGGTCACACGCTGAGTCAGATGTCAGACCTGGATACATCATGACTTTGTTGTGAAGCGGTTGGGTTAGTGAGATGGCAGTAAACAAAGATTGACTTTTAACCTCTTGGTTAAATGAATAATAAGTGTGTAGTGTTTGAACTACTCTAGTACTGCTCTGTGTACTGTGTACTGGTCGTTTGATGTAATTCCTTGTGGTGATGGTAAAACGTTTTTACTTTCCAGTAGGAAAACCACATAATTCCTGGTGCTGTTCTTCTGTCCTGGAGCTGCTCTGACTACTGGAAAATGTTAAATATGGCTCCTGGTTTTGTGCCTGTTGTGTATATTTATTTATTTTGTTGTTGTAGTACTGTTCTTGATTCTTCGCAGTAGGAACCGGTACTGTCTGTAGAGTCATGTCCTGTCATTACACTACTGTGCATTGTGGGAACATGAATGTAGTCCTTCACCCTCGTGTTGCCAGTTTCTGTCCCAAACGGATGGTTGAGATGACTGAAAATAAAAAATGGAATGCAGCTGATGCTTGTTGCTGACAGACTCTTCTGTCTTCTTTTTTTTTGTCTCGTCTCCACTCATTCTGTCTGCCCCTCTTACCTCAGGAACAGGATGGCGCTGTTGCCCACTCAGGCCTTCTACCTGCTCATCAACAACAAGGGTCTGGGCAGCATGTCGCTGACCATGGCTCAGGTTTACAAGGAGCAGCAGGATGAAGATGGCTTCCTTTACATGACCTACGCCTCCCAGGAAATGTTCGGACACTGACCGCACCTCCAAACACTGGCCCGCTGCACTTTTTATGTACACTGCTACCAGTCTGTCTGCTGTAAATATGAAAAAAGTTTTTATTTATTGTACAATGTTTGTTTAATGTAGATTTTATTGAAAAAGTGATTATTTAGCTCTAATAAATATTGTTGTCATAAATGTAAACATTTGTGAGATGTTGATCTTTTGGAGGCAGCAGTGGTGAGAAAGTACGATGGTCACACATGGCCGTTAAAGAAATATACAATTCAAACTTTTTTGCTTTAAAACTGTCACTTTTAAGTCCGTCTCTCCTCTAAAGATTCTCATGTCATTACACCACCAGGTGGCAGCAGTGATTCACCGGCTTAACCCTCGTCGCTTCGATTCTTTAAATCTTAAACTATACATTTTTTTAGTCTGTCCGTTAGAAATTGTCGACAGTTAACAGTTCTCACTTGTTTAAATTATTTTTCAACTTGTCAGTGATGTAAGTCTAGTGATCCTTTTAATTAAATAATTAGCTTTAACCATTAGCAGAATCTTTTTAATTTATAATTTTTTGTATAGGCTTTTTAAAGCATTTTCGATCATGTTAGCCTTCATGTTTTTCTCTTCCATTAAAAAAAATAAAATAAAATAAAAAAGATATAAATAATGAAGGCTGTAAGGAGCCTTCATTATTTATATATATTTTTTACTTTGTATGTTTTCAAACAGCATCTTTGAGCTGTCAAACTTCTTTTAGCTTTAACTTTAGTGTTAGTTATTTCCATGTTGCTTTTTTTCACTTTTCTATTCCTTTAAGGCTGATGTTGCCTTCAGGGTCTCAGGCTTCTAGCGTATATATATGAGATATTAGCAGATTTGAGGAACTCTCAGCTTCTAGTGTGACATGAGTTGTGCTTTGATGTATTTCCTGTCTGGACATATATCAAGTGTGTTATGTTTACAAACAGCATTTGTGTGTATGTGTGAGAGAGTAATGGAGGTGAAAGCTCATTGGCTTGCACAGTCACACACTCATTGGAATGCAAGCACATATCTCGCTCTGTGGCTTACACACACACACACACACACACACACACATTCACTCAAATGTGTCCTTCCTGTTCTGGGTGTCGTGACAGAAATACCTCAGCGGCTGCAAGTATTGCTCTCTCACTACTGATGATGTAATGTCCTCACGCACACACACACACACACACACACTTCCTTGTGTTTGTTTGCAGCTTTAAGGAGTCCCACTCTTACTTCCTGTCTCATAAAACAAAACAAACAGATTAAAAACCAGCCCCAGTCGTGTGGGAAACTGAACATCAAGCAGACGGTGTTGAAACGTTACGTCTCTGCTGTTATCACCCTCTCAGACGTTACACATGTGATTTAGTTTGGTTTGTTTTGTAAACAGCGTACAGCAGGAGGGGTGTGGCCACGGAGAGCTGCACACACTGTCCCAAAACAAACCAGCAGCTGAGGCTTAATGGGAAAAACAGACAAACTACGAAAACCACATTGAAACAGTCAGAAATATCACTAAAAAAAGTCAACAAAATCTCTTGAAAACTAAACCTTCGTGTGTAACACTTATGAGTTATTTTAACCAGAAGACCAGAAAAGTCATGAAGCCAAGCCAAAATATCTAAGAGCTAAAAGCTAAATGAAGGCCACTTTCATGTTGTCACAGATCCAAAACCCACACATTGTCCACATTGGACATATTTGGATATATATATATATATATATGTATATATATATATATATAAATATATATATATATATGATATTCAAGAAACTGGTCATAGAAGACGACTTCCTGTGCAATGTGAAAGAAAAGAAAACGTTGACTTTGTCCACACCCACCTAAACGTGCGGTCTTTGGTTTGGACTGGGCAGCAGACTGAAACTCTGCTCACTTTCCCTGAGAATCTGAGGAACCTTCTCCTAAACCCTGTGTGTGAGTTCAGTGGAGGTGAACTCTGTGAGAATCCATTTCCAGCCATTGTTTCCTTCCGTTCCCACCTCTCCGTCTCTGATGTTGCAACAAGCGACACACATTTTCCTTTTTTACCACAGTAACTGTATCCTTCTGGGAGAAGGTGGGTCGCGCCTTCACATGGTGTCGGGTCTCCGCCATATTGAGTCCGAACGGTAACAGCAGTGTCGTTTTACCCAGCATCCTTCAATGGTGGTGAGACGCGGGGCCACAGGCCTGGGGTTTGTCCTGCAAACAGACGCAGCATTGAGCAGGAACCTTCACACCACTGAGGAGCTCAGGCCCAGAGTTCCTGGATAGTAACGGGAGAACCTCGGTATCGTGCAGTGTCAGAACGACGTAGCTGTGATCAGAGTCTCCTGCTGTGATAACAACACAAACCTGTTATCAGATTATGTTTGAACAGTAATAAAGAATATGGACACCTGACTACTGAGCTGCAAGAATAGGTCCACGTTAGTTTCATTTCACAGGAATGAAAAAAAAAATCATTCCCATTCAACTTAGTGTCACATTATTTTTATCTTTATTGGCATCTTAATCATG